GACTCGAGAGGGGCAAAGCTCATGTCATAAATAACAAGAAATTCAAGTTCTCTAGAGAATTGTCCACTAATGTTGCGGGGGATGATCTGTAATCACCACTTGTGTTAATGTGTTTCTCACTGTTGACACGTGGCGGTCTTGGATGAAAGGTACAAATGCGCTAGTACTGCTGATGTCACTATGCGTTCGGAGAAAGAACTGTAAAAGATGTGATAAAAAGACAGCACCAGACACAGAACTCTGCCACCGACTGGGGCAGGAACGTGATGCCAGCCAAGGTAGGCTGGACCCCAGAGGCATGAAAGAGGAGCTCTGATTGGCTTCAGCCTCCCAGAAGGCCAGAACAGTCAGACTGGGTACAACCAGAATCCTTCATGGTACCTGAAACACCACCAGCACTGTACAGGCTCTTCAGCCAGTACACTAGGAAACTCCCTCCTGAAGCTTGGAAAGCAGCCTTGAATGGTAATAGTATTAAGCAGCTGAAAACCCTCGTAGGAGGCAGACAGTGAACCAGGAGAGCAAGTGTGCCTGAACCGGGCCAAGTCCTGGGTTCCTCCCAGAGCAACTTCCTCACCTGACCTCAGGACCAAAGTGCAGGCACATCCTAGTTGCTCTCAGTAGCCACTCCCAGCTCTGTCATTCATAAATTTACCAAGACCCACCTTAAATTGAATGTATATATCCTGCCAGGACCACCTCTTGAGATAATGAGCATTATAAGATTATTACCTGCTGTGTTAAACAGTACCTCCTTTCATTGGTTACAACAAGAAAAAGAAGAACTAGGGGTTGAAACAGCAGAGAGGTTAATGTTGCTTTCACCAAGGGATGGTGAGAGCAGAAATATTCAATTGCCTGGAACCACATGGTACTATTTAAGTAGCAACTATGAACTTGGGCAACTCAATGACTTCAAGTGTTTGGGTTGACAAAAGTCACTCAACATGTGCTTATGAAAAGCAGAACTGGACAAAGGCATAATTTATCTTAGCATTACCGAGTAAGAAAAGGGTTCAAATAATAGTCCAGCAATGTTTTCGATCACAAAAGCCCGAGTTGATTGCAAATAGGTGGGGATCAGGGGTTGTGAAAACAGGAAAAGATACTCGGTGCCCTGAAATTTAATACTGTGCCTCTCTGCAGAGCCAGGAATGCCAGAGAGTCACAAGGCAGCACCAACCTTCCGTGGGCACGGAGCTCACACCTGCTGGCTGAACTACCAAGAAGTATCTAAGCCAGGACTATCATCAGAGATAAACCCCAAGAGCAATAACGGTACCCTGGATTGGTACACGAGGGGGCAGGAGGCTGACCCAGCAGTTAAGCTGCCTGCTGGGATACCTGCGTCCCATATCAGAGTGCCTGGGTTGGAGTCCTGACTCCTCTTCCTGCTAATGTGCACCTGAAAGGAACAGGTGATGGCTCAAGTAATTGGGTTCCTGCCACACACATGGGAGCCCTGGATTGCATTTCTGGTCCCCAGTTTCAGCCTGGTTCAGGCCTGGTTGAAGCAGGAATTTGGGGAGTGAATCAGCAGACTGAAGAATGTTCTCTCCCTCTCCCTCTAACCCTCTCCCCTCTTCTTTCTCTCTCTCTCTCTCTCTGTGTGTGTGTGTGTGTGTGTGTGTGTGTGTATCCCTCTCTGTCTTACTTACTTTTCAGATTAAAGAAAAATAAAAGAAGCATGAGTGGGAAAACTGCTGAAATCCAAATATGTGTGAAGTTTAGCTAACAGTAATGGACCAATCTTAACCTTAACTTTGACTAATATGACACCGTTATGAAAGAGATTAACACTGGGGGAAACTGGGTGAAGGGTGAGCAGGGATCTCAATCTGTATGACTGTTATATTAATCTAAAATTATTCCAAAAGGAAAGGTTACTGCAACTGAAAGAAATGTTTTTAAGGCAAATACATTGTGTGAGTCTTCAGAGCCACTCTCCTGGGAGCTGAGAGTCAACAAAACCAACTCAGTTTTTCAGGATCAGGATGCTGCTGGGGGAGAACTCCCTCACACAAACAGGGCTGGGATGATTACAGAGAAAATGTGCCAGGGGTAAGAAAAACTAAGTCCACGTTTATCACGATGAGACAAAATTAAGCACGAAGCCATGGACAACGTGAAGAATCAACTGTGGAAGCCACATGTGTGAAAGACCAAGACGACAGTCTCCTCCCAGAGAGGACAGGCCTCAGGATGGACAGCAGGAACCACATCTACTCAGATGTGTGTCCTCTGCAGGCAGTGCATGATTGACAGGTGCTGCAGTTTGCAAACGAATTGGCTCCCCAATTCATGTGAATGTTAAATCCAGTAAATCAGAAATTAGCAACACTAACAGGGAGGATACTTAATACAATTACGTGTTTAGGAGGTGTGCCCAGTTGGAGGCCCTTGGGCACTGGAGTGTGCCCTCAAAAGGCTGGTTCTGTAAGCCCGAATCTGTCTCACATGTGATCCTTCCTCTGTGCACGGCCACCACTATGATCCCCCAGCCTTGCCAGACGGCTGAACCAACAGGGCTACCTGATCTTAGCCTGAAAACCTCCAAAATCGTGTGCCATGTCTTGGGCTTATCTTAGGTTTTTTGTTGTGGAAAAAAAAAAAAAAAAAAAAACCTAATATGATAGGAAAAATAACTACATTCACAAATCCAGTAAACCTTAAAACCTGTAAACAGCCCGAATGGGGCTGGCGCCATGGCTCACTTGGCTAATCCTCCGCCTGCAGTGCTGGCATCCCTTATGGGCACTGGATTCTAGTCCTGGTTGCTCCTCTTCCAGTCCAGCTCTCTGCTGTGGCCCGGGAGGTCAGTGGAGGATGGCCCAAGTGCTTGGGCCCCTGTACCCGCATGGGAGACCAGGAGGAAGCACCTGGCTCCTGGCTTCCGATTGGCGTAGCTCCAGCCATAGCAGCCATTTGGGAGGTGAACCAACAGAAGGAAGACCTTTCTCTCTGTCTCTCCCTCTCTAACTTTGTCAAATAAATAAAAATAAATAAATAAAATTTAAAAAAAAAAAAAACCTGTAAACATCCCGAAAGGAAAAGCTAGAACTAAATCTGGGAACTGTGACATATAGTTGACCCCCTATATCTGTAAATTCTCACCTCTAGGTTCAACTGAGAATTGAAAATACATGGGAAAAAAATTGTCTCTGTACTGAAGCTTTTTTTCTGGTCATTAATCTCTAAGCAATACAACAACTATCTATACAGAATGTACAGTGTATTAGGTAATATAAGTAATCTAGACATGATTTAAAAGTTACAGAAGGATTGTGTCATTGATACGCAAATACTATGACATTTTATAAGAAACTTCAATATCCCTGAATTGTGGTATTCCCAGGGGAAACCAAGTCCCCTACATATATTGTGGGACGACTATAATACTAAAAACAACATCAGGGTTTACCAAAACACAAAATAAGGTTACTCAGGTAATTAATCACCATTCACTCACTGACTTAAGTGGAGATAAGTTGTTAGGCATAATCATCACATTCATACGTTTAAAAAAATTAACTGCTTATTCAAGAAGATTACAGAAATAAAAGGGCATGTCAAGAAAATAATAAGTACTTGGATAGCATCTAAAGGAAATTCTATCAGGTCTTTTAAAAAGCATAAAAGGAAGAACACACTGAAAATATATTACTGATTAAAAGGTCCGAGCCTTGGAGGTTTGGGGTTGGGGGTGATCTACAAAGATTAGAAAATGAAACTGTAGTTCCAGCAGAAGGAAAACCAAGGAAGACCTAGGGAAAGGCAGCCTTAAGTACCTCAGAGGAGGTCCGGGAAACCATCCAAACTGTTTTCAAGTGGACAACACTGGATCTTACCACACTCACCTGCCGCAGAAGCCACAAGAGGTTATAACCACAACACAACTCCCAGAAGCCTGGTTTTGACATCTGAAAATGGGTTCTGGGGATGGAGGTTTGGCCCAGCAGTTAAGACACCACATGCGATACCTACCTCTCCTATCAGAGAGCCTGGCTTTGAGTCCGGGCTCCACTTCTGATTCCTGCTTCCTGCTAATGCAGATTCTAAGAGTGAATGCTCAAGTGGCTGGGTCCCTGCCACGTGGGGCAGACTTGGGTTGAAGTCCTAGCTCCTGGCTTCCTCCTGGCCCAGCCCTAGGTGTGGTGAGCATTTGAGGGATGAACTAGCAGATGTGACATCTCTGTCGGTCTCTCTCTCTTTCTGCCTTTTAACTCAATAAATAAAAAATAAAGATAAAAATAGATTCCTTTTCCTCACTCTCTCATCACCAAAAATTAAAAACAGGCCAATTGCTTTCCTACTGGCTCTAATCTCTGTTGTCACTCCATAAACTCATCAGATCACACTCAGTATACAGCATGTTCAAATTTTTAAAAAATGTTTTTTAAAAAAGCACCAATTGGTAAATCACCAAGCATTTTAGTTTTGTTGATAATAAATCAGGTCTTTGTTTTTAATGAATTAACTCAGTTCACGCAAATTGACCACAAAGTGATATCTGAATGAATCCCCTGTATGTCTGCATTAAAGATTTCACATGCTTGCGAGCAAAAACAAATATTACAGAGGGAAGTAAATGAACATTGCAGAGTAGTGGTTTCAGAGTAGCCTTGGTCATGAGCAGAGCTTCCTGGAGATGTTACCTAACCTCAGAGTCTTTTTCCTAACCTGTGAATAGGATTCTGAGGTTCCCTTTTTCTTTGGAAAGAAACTCTGTCAAATCTTAAAACTCCATCAGCCTGTGCCTCTAAACCACTGCAAGATAATGTGTTAGACTGCATACGCGTGGAGTTTGATAAATGACGCACTTCCATGCAAACAGTTCTAAAGCAGAATTATCACTCAAAGATGGCTACATCATTAGCCTCTTCTAGTCCTGCAGATAATATGCAGGGTACACCAGCTTCTCTGGGCCCACAAAATTTCTGACCGCTCCTAAGCATTTCTTAATCCCAGAACCCAAATTTAAGGAGCAGGGTTCTACTTACACTCACGTATTTTATTCCAATCAATTTTAGAGAAGAAAGGATGGCAGCAAAGACCTTCGAACTTCAGTCTCTCTTTCTGGCCACACAGCAAACTTTGAATCAGATCAAGAAATTCACTGCTGACTTTGGGGTCCTCTGGAAACTTCAAAAACCGCTGTTTCAAAAAAGAAAGAAAGGAACAAAGGGAGAAAGAATGGAGGAGGGAAGGAGGGGAGGGAGGAAGGAAAGGAGGAAGGAAGGAAGGAAGGAAGGAAGGAAGGAAGGAAGGAAGGAAGGAAGGAAGGAAGGAAGAAAGGAAGGAAGGAAATACAGTAATTATTTCCTTAGTGGTACATCAGTTTGTTATGTCCCAAAGTTAAGTATTTCTCACATATGCAAGTCCCTTTAGTTGCCTTTTTAAAGGAAGAAGTTCTGTGCCCTCTTCACTTTGGACCAAAGACACATTCCCAAAATAAATGGCCTGTGCACATCAATAGGCCTCGTTCCTTTGCAGGGGTTCAACACCCTCATGGCTGACCCCTGCTCCCCTCTCCCAACTCATCTCACCAGGCTCCCGTCTCTCTCTTCGCTGCCCAACAATGACGGGCTATTTAAAGCTCCCTGAACAAATCACGCTGTTCTCTCGGCCGAGAACGCGCTCCCCACCCACCCAGCCTGCCCTGGCTGCTTTTTCTGCCCTATCACTGCCTTCCACAAGCTCTCTCTGTGTTCTGCTTTTACACAGACAGAATGATGACAGAGAAAGAAGGAAGAGAGGGTCTTCTCCTTCTTGCTCATTGCTGCAAAACTGGTCCCCTAGAGTACCTGGTACAGTTCACTCACTACTTAAATGCTGAATGAGTGAATCAAATGAAAGAAAGAAATTAGCCCCAAGAGTCACCTAAGGGGAAATTTTAAATGAAGAAAAGACCCAGGAATAACACATGATGCTGTGGGTATTTGGTGCAGTGGTTAAGATGCTGCTTAGGACACCAGCATCCCCTATCAGAGTGCCGGGTTCAAGTCCTAGCTCCACTCCCCATCCCAGCCTCCTGCTAATGCACACCCTGGGAGATGGCAGGTGATGGCTCAAGTACTTAGGTCCCTGCAACCCACATGGGAAACACAGATAGAGTTCCAGGCTGCTGGCCATGGCCTGGTCAACTCCCAAGTGTTGTGGGCATTTGAGTAGCGAACCAGCAAATGGGAGAACTCTGTCCATCTCTGTCTCTCTCTGCCTGTTAAGTAAATAAATATTTTGGGGCTGGCGCCGTGGCTCACTTGGTTAATCCTCTGCCTGCAGTGCCGGCATCCCATATGGGCACCAGGTTCTAGTCCTGGTTGCTCCTCTTCCAGTCCAGCTCTCTGCTGTGGCCCGAGAGGGCAGTGGAGGATGGCCCAGGTGCTTGGGCTCCTGTACCTGCATGGGAGACCAGGAGGAAGCACCTGGCTCCTGGCTTTGGATCAGCACAGCTCTGGCTGTAGCGGTCATTTGGGGAGTGAACCAACAGAAGGAAGACCTTTCTCTCTGTCTCTCTCTCTCACTGACTGTAACTCTACCTGTCAAATAAATAAATAAATAAAAAAGAAGACTGATCTGTATCTTCTTTAAAAAAATAAATAAATATTTTTAAAAAATAACAAATAATGTATGGGTACACATACTGTATTAGGTACTCCAGAAAGATGGAAATTGGATGAAATACTAAGGCCTAAGAATTAAGTTCTCTTTTTCCTTTTGGTTGAAACTATATTTATGCATATGTATGTATGTGTGTATATATATGTGTCTGTATATATACATAAATATGTATATATGTGTGTATATGTATATATGTAGCTATATAGCAGGCTTAATATATAGTGGGAATATAGTTATTAGAAAATGGTTTAGGAAGCCAGTGCAGTGGCAAAGCAGGTTAAAGCCCTGGCCTGCATAACTGGCATCCTATATGGATGTCAGTTTGAGTCCTAGCTGCTCCACTTCTGATCTGGCTCCCTGCTAACGTGCCTGGGAAAGCAGCAGAGGGTGGCCCAAGTCCTTGGGCACCTGCGCCCACATGGGAAACCTGAAAGAAGCTCCTGGCTCCTGGCTCCAGATCAGTTCAGCTCTAGATGTTGCAGCCATTTGGGGAGTGGACCAGTAGATGGAAGACCTACCACCCCACCCCACCAACCCACCCACCTCTGCCTCTCTGTAACTCTTTCAAATAAATAAAATCTTTAAAATTTTTTTAAAAAAGAAAATGGTGGGGCCGTCACCATGGCTCACTTGGTTAATCCTCTGCCTGTGGCACTGGCATCCCATATGGGTACCAGGTTCTAGTCCCGGTTGCTCCTCTTCCAGTCCAGCTCTCTGCTGTGGCCCAGGAGGGCAGTGGAGGATGGCCCAAGTGCTTGGGCCCCTGCACCTGCATGGGAGGCCAGGAGGAAGCACCTGGCTCCTGGCTTTGGATCAGCATAGCTCTGGCCATAGCAGCCATTTAGGGGGTGAACCAACGGAAGGAAGACCTTTCTCTCTGTCTCTCTCTCTCTCTCTCACTGTCTAATTCTGTCAAATAAAAATAAATAAATAAATAAATAAATAAAAGAAAATGGTTTAACCTCATATATATATGTTTGTATATATCAATGTGTACACACACACACACACACATTACCATGTTTCTAATTCATTTCCTCACTTGATTGTGCTACCATACTCAACTGTTAGTTAAGTACTAAGAAGAAAATAATGTAAAATAGAGAGCATGGATTTCAGAACCAAATAGTCTATTATTTTGGGAATGCTACTTAACTTCTCTGTGCTATAGTTTCTGTATCTATAAATGAAAATAATAATAGTGATAGTTTCTACCTCACAGGGTGATTTGAAGATCAGGTTAATAAACTATATTTCATCAATCCTAAGACTCACATTCACTCACATTCAACAGCACAGAAATTAAAATGCATTTTATAATCAATAAAAATACCATACATTCATTGGCAGCAGTGTGTCATCTAGCAGCTGAGATTCAATGAACTACAATTAATAAAGTGTTTGAAATAGCTTTGGCACAGAAGCAAGCGCTAAATAAGTATTTGCTATGATTATTTTCCAGTGTAGTACTGCTAGTTTATATATAAGCATTCACTTACGCAGTAAGATTTTTGTCTTTATTTATTTGAAAGGCAGGGGCACAGAGAGAAAGCAAAAGATCTCCCATCCACTGGTTTACCCGCCCCCTCCCCCAAATGCTCACAACAGCCAGGGCTAGACCAGGCCAAAGCCAGGAGCCTGGAACTCAATTTAGGCCTCCCACATGGGAGGCAGTTCCCAGTCATGTGAGCTAGCTAGCTAGCTCCCATGGTGCATTTCGGCAGGAGCTACAATGGAGAGCATAGGCAGTGTTTGAACCAGGCTCTCTGATACAGGACAGTGGTATCCCAAGCACTACACTAACCACCCCTTCACACGGTGTTTAAGTGACATTTCTCAATGTTTCATAAGAATCTACTAAAGAGTCCTTACCTGGAAATTCATGATGTTATTGAAGGTCCTGGCTGAGGTTCCCTCCGTGAATGGGGACCTCCCATAAACCATCTCGTAAGCGATGACTCCCACCGACCACCAGTCACAGTCCAGGCTGTAGGTGCCTTTCCCATCCCCGTTCATCACGGTCAGCACTTCAGGAGCCATGTAATCGGGGGTCCCAATCGGGAGCCTGGCATTCACCTAGAAAACCATCAATAAATAAAATGAAGACAACAAACTTTCAATTATCCTCCAGTAGATTGACAGCAGCCACATTTCAGACACAAGCTGATCTGTTAGACTGCTATGCTCCCAGGCACTTAAACCTCCTGTCAAGTGGCACACTGGCAGGAAATGCAAACACTGTACCAATTAAAAGGAAAGGAAGAGAGAAAGCACCTAACACAATCAAAGGCAAAGGGGCAAGAGCTGTGGATGGCACACACTCGGGTCACACACATGGGACAGAAGGTGTCTTTCATATACAAGTCTCTGATAGGATAGGACTTCACTCACTTACAGAATCAGCAACATGTTCACAGACGCTAAAGATGGATCCATCAGATGAACCAAACCATTACTGAGAAACTGAGAGCAAGCAGGTAACACACTATTACACATGTACTTTATATTTCAAGTTTAAAAAATTTGGAGACCACTTTTGGAAACCACAACCCTATCCTGGCCTGCCCTCAGGGCAAGACATGATAAATAACTTCCACCAGGGCCAAACATTAATGAGTTCCTTTTCCTCTGATCCTTCCCCACTGTTCAGAAACCCAGGGCCCTCCAATCCAATGGCCCCAAGCATCTGACCTTGGCAAAGTTAGATTAGCACAATGTAGGAGGCCTTTTGTTATAAAGCTCAGTGTATTCCATTTAAAGAACTGTCCTTTATTCCTGAGAACTTGTCCTTCTGACTGTTCCATGTTTAAATATCCTTCATTGCTTGAAATCATGCTGATGAAAAAATTACGTTTTCTGCCCCTCACTCCCACCCCCCTACTAGGCAACGTAGGCAGCCCCTTTGGTCTTCAAAATTGTTTTGAAGTTTTACTGAGCCATGAAATTGGAAGTCGAAGGGATAGCCTCTTTCACCTTCCTCCCTATCCCAACAGAGACCCTGACATTAGTCATACATCATGTTGACCAGTTGTCCTATAATACTACATCATAAACCAGTGGGCTGCTCTTGGGTCAGCAGGTACAGTGCAAACCAATTTTCTTTCCATTCAAGGATGTTAAGTGCCCCTGAAGATTTTGTGGGTATGGCTACATACCTTTAGGGCTGGGCCTTATATCAAGGAAGTAGATTTGCTTCACTTTGCTTTAATTAGTCATTAAGGGAGAAAGGAAAAGTTCAGAGAGGACACCGCCAGGTCTCCTTTCGCCCAGAATGAAGCTGGATGGAGCTCTTCCAGCCCACAACTTTGTCATCCCTCTGCGCAAGACCCTGTCATTACAAGAAACGAGATTTCCTCTCATTCTCCTAATCTCCTCCCTTTAAAGAAATTTTTATTTATTTGAAATGCAGAGTTAGAGAGAGCGAGCAGGGGAGACAAAGAGATCTTCCACCTGCTGGCTCACTCCCCAGATGGCTTCAATGGCTGCAGCCGATTAGAAGCCAGCAGCCAGGAGCTTCTTCCGGGTCTCCCATGTGGTTGCAGGGGCCCAAGCACCTGGACCATCCTCCACTGCTTTCCCAGGCCATAGCAGAGAGCTGGATCAGAAGTGGAGCAGCTGGCACTTGAACTCACGCCCCCGTGAGATGCCAGCACTGGAGGCAAAGGCTTAACCTGCTTCACCATAGCGCTGGCCCCCCATCCCCTCCCTTTTCACAACAAGGTTCAGCCCTTTCTTCAGGCCCACAACCTAGACAGCAGTGGAGCATTGCTATCGTTCACACTGCTCAGCCTGGGCTCTGGGCACACAGTGGGGAAATACTGAGTCTAGGCTGAGACACGGGCTGACTCAAGCTTGAAGACCGAAAGTGACACCATCGAGGGGAAGCCTTAATGTTGGGATGTCTGGGCCAAGACTTCTAAGCCTTTTACTGTTAGCACAAGTGTTAAAGAGCTCAGCACAGAATTAGGGCCAAACTATAGGGTTTTGGTTGTGACCACAATACTGACAATGAGCAATAGATATTTTTAAATAAATAACAAGAAAAACTCTAACACTGTGGTTTGGCTAGCTAATGATAATGTACCTGTATCATTTTTTTTTTAAATGCTTACTCTTTATGCCTAATTACTTTGCAGGACCCTAACTACACAACTGTCAGATATTCATCATGAGCTCTCGCTGTACTTGTTGAACACAAGTTGTTCAGGAATATTCCGTTCTCCTTGTTTACAGCTCGCAGGGCACAGCTGCTTGTTCACAACCAAAGAGTTAAAAGGAACTTGATGGGGTCATATGTATCAGGGTGACCCAGCCAAAGAGCACAAATTGTCAATGCCTCATTTCCAAACTAATGACCAGACTTAGAGAAGACAGGCAAATAATTCCCCAAAGTAATCCTTGCCTCAGAATGCGATTGTGATTACATACATTTATATCCAACAATTTTCTAAATTCTATTATTAATTGGTACCAAAAAGATATGAAAGGAGAAATACAAGCTGACTCACTCTTTGTACATCTCCCACAATAGTGCCTAATCATGATTAATAATGGTTTTTAATGATAATTAATGATTACTCAGTCTCCATTAGTCACTGACCTCCACGGACATTAAACCTGTCCAACATATAATCTCACATCCTACCAAGGCCTTCCAACATGCTTTTTCTCTCCTCCTGTGGCGATTAATCCAGCTAATCCAGTGAGGCACTAAAAGTGAACATGTGCTAGGAGTCCAGCCTGTCCACAATGTACCATCTGACAGCGCCCCAGGAGTATAAAACCATGGTTAATTTTCATCATATTAATGGGGAAGAAAAGAAGCTGGGAGAGGAGGGAGGGAAGGAGAAAAGGGTCAACTTAGCAGATTCTTTAACAGGAGAATTTACTTAAACATAAAATTGTGGGGCCAGCGCTATGGCTCAGTGGGTTAACACCCTGGCCTGAAGCACCGGCATTCCATATGGACCCAAGTTTGAGACCCGGCTGCTCCACTTCCGATCTAGCTCTCTGCTATGTCCTGGAAAAGCAGTAAAAGATGGCCCAAGTCCTTGGGCCCCTGCACCCGCGTGGGAGACCCAGAGGAAGCTTCTGGCTCCTGGCTTCAGGAATGAACCATTGGATGGAATACCTCTCTCTCTCTCTCTCTGCCTCTCCTCTTTCTGTATAACTCTTAACTTCCAAATAAATAAACAAATCTTTAAAAAAAAAAAAACCATAAAATTATTTACCTAACTTTCCCTATCCAGCTGCCCAGGGCATTAAACCTACACTTGGGCCAGTGCCACGGCTCACTAGGCTAATTCTCCACCTGTAGCGCCAGCACCCCAGGTTCTAGTCCTGGTTGGGGAGCCAGATTCTGTCCCGGTTGCTCCTCTTCCAGTCCAGCTCTCTGCTGTGGCCCGGGAAGGCTGTGCAGGATGGCCCAAGTGCTTGGGCCCTGCACCTGCATGGGAGACCAGGAGGAAGCACCTGGCTCCTGGCTTCAGATTGGCACAGTGCCGATCTGTGGCCATTTGGGAGGTGAACCAACGGAAGGAAGACCTTTCTCTTGTCTCTCTCTCACTAACTCTGCCTGTCAAAAAAAAAAAAAAAAAACCTACATCTGCACAAACAGGGAAAGGAAGTCTATGTTATTCCTGTGCAGAAAAGAAATACAATCTCTTCACTCCTACAGGAGTCTCCACCAGCTAACAGGGGCCAAGAGCCCCTTACCATGCTACGACGCACTTCCATTACAAGCTCCTCACAGCTGTGTTCACTAGAGCTCAGATACAGGTTGGAGTGGCTGGCTGTTTGCCATGCTGCTCTTTGAGGCTCCAATAAGGCGAAGTGGGCAGCCTAAGCCACACAGCAGGTCTTACGGTTGCTAGGCCCTCATTCTGTGTTTACTAACATAAAGACTCCAAAGAAACGTTCTTAAGAAGAGATAATGGGTGATGGAATACTCAACAGATCCAAGACTCACAAATAGCCAAAACACATAGATGATATTCTGGGGGTGATAGGAAGGAGGATGGGTTGATTTGGGGTAACACACAGTCATTCCAGGAAATGTGGGCTGTATTTTGTATGGTACCTTTTGAGCATAGCAAACACTGAGAACTTGCCATAGGCCTGTAAAACATTCTATTTAAAGGAGACACATGTTTAGCCCACCACCATTGATCAAAAATATTTTTTAAAAAATTATAATTCTATGGAATCTACATCTGACTTGATCTAGAGTGCAGATTATTGTTCTCCTGTAATAAAAGGGCCTCTGCACTTAAAATGATGCAAAAAAAAAAAAAAAAATCCCTTAACTGCTTGTCACATCCTGGCCGTATGAGCACAAGCGAAAGGAGGGACTATACTCTCAAGCAGGTGCACAAAGGGCCATACCTCCTTGACCAAAATAATCAGAGGCTGAGCCTGGAGTTGCAAATAAACCCAAGAGTCTCTGAGAGGCTCCTGGCCTGCAGTGAAGGTTGCTGCAATCAGAGGAACTCAAAAGGGCAGTGGAAGCTCTGAAAAACAGAACTCAACACGAACAGGAGCCCTTTCTGTCCCCTGAGGGCTCTGAAGGCAGGGACGCGGAGATTGGGCCTTATTCTCAATTCCCATTTATTTACCAAGCAATGACTTTGTGTCCTAAACTAGTTTTCTGAGTAGGTTTCCTTACTGCAAACACATATTCCTGGCTGTAGTAATTAGATTTCTGATGCTTCTCCATCTACTTGCAGGCATCTCAGCCGGGACTAATTTGACCAACCTCTTCCTAACCCTAACCCTGTTTCCCAGGGACATTTGGCAACATCTGGAGAAGTTTTTGTTTTCACAACTGTGGGAAATGCTGCTAATGATATCTAGAGAGTAGGGGCCAGGGACACCCCTAAACATCCTGTTACAGCCAGGATAGTCTGCTACAACAATTATCCAGACCACAATGTCAGTAGTGCTGGGGTTCTATTGTCAGACCACGGGCCTGTACGACAGTTTCTGTCTAAATGCAGGTGTCTAATAATGTCACCAATGTAACATAAAGTTTCTGAATCCTAGATAATAAAGCTTTGCATTATTTAATTATTTTTCTGTGCTTTATTCCCCTAAACTCGATACCTAAGTTTTCATATCTGTTTCTGAATTACATATAAATTTTTAAACATAGATGCTTTGATTCTCCAATTCTTCACTTGATCTTAGCCAGAAGGCCAAGGACTAATGTAATGATCAGGTGAATAGGTTCTAAGAACATAGCCTGAAAGAAATGACAGTGCTGAGGGTGACAAATCCCACCTTGGACAGCATGGGGAGTCTGTCCAAGAACCTGAACGCGAGGTGAATTACCTCCAGTAGGTCTCAGGTCTTAAGAACAGGTAGGAGGTGCAAAGACAATGCCGCGCCAAGCCTTTTCCTCCATCTAATACTACCCGCCAAGCCTTGTCCTCTGTCTAATACTACCCACATTTCCTCCAAGGAATTTAAAGGAAAAAATGCAATTTTACATACTGTCCTTTTTACCAAGAACTGAATTCTCAGCTTGGGCAGTATTTTGAAGATTGGGTTCTCCAACCTCTTAATTTTTGCATCCTTCTAAAACCAGCATTTTCTGGAGACAGAATGAAAGGCCAGTTCTTAGTGGTTCATCAAGGTCACCAAATGGCTCAGTCATGAAGCAAGTCTTCAAAACCTAAGTCAATTTTCTCCTAGGCCTATCCTTTTTTGCATAATTCACATTGCGGCACACGCAAAATTTATTAGAAGGTTTTTTTTTAACTCCTTTTTTACTTTGTCATTTCTCTTTTAAAGAAGTCTCCCCCTGGATCTCAACAGCTGCCCTCTTGCCTCCCTAATTAGCATGTGGGATACAGTTTAATTTTTACCAAGGTTTAAGACTTAAAAATGATATTCTGAGCACTAGGTTCTTAGCACTTAAGGATATCTGGCTGAAATGCTCCAGTAATTAATTCCAATTTTGCTGCATAGGAAATAGAAGATTTGAGCAAAAGAGGGTTACATTTCATCAAAATATTTTAAAAGTAGAAAAGATGATATAACAGAAGACAGTCTATAACAGGCAAGGAAAACAAAATACGTATTGTCTTGTCTTTTTAACCGCAGTGTAAGAATGTTCCTAAAGCTGTTTTTTAGGGTATTAACAGGGCTACACATAAAAGGGTACCATGATCTGGGAACTGGCTCATGCGTCCACACTCACTCCCCAGGTGAAGGCTCCAAAATGCGGCTCCCCATTCTACCCCAATACTTCTCAAACTTCTCAAGACCCCAGAATGCTCTGCAGTACAAACTCTGCTCAGGGTACTTCATTCCATTTTTTTACCATCTTATTTGAATTCATCTTAGCAGCCGATCCAAAATCCACCAGCTTGATGTGTCCTGTTCGGTCAATGAGAATGTTCTCGGGCTTGATGTCTCTGTAAGGGAATTGGGACAATGAAGCCGTGCTGTGCTCTCCGTGCCAATCAGCAGGCAACTGCTAACCTAGGATCTCAACTCAGCCAAGAATCTTAGCTTCCCCTACACAGACCTCCTCTGTCGATGGATGTAAATAACTAGCGTATATTAAAAAGAAGGAAAGGAGGAAGGAAGAAAGAGAAGGAAGCAAATATTTATTAGTCGGGCTATTTCTCCCAGAGATACACATTTTACATTACAAAAACTTAGGCCAGGGCGGGAGCACAGCCACCAAGACACAGTTGAGGTGCCCTGACCAGGGTGCTGGGATTCACTATCGGCTCTGGCTCCTCACTCCAACCTCCTGCTAACGCAGACTCAAGGAGGCAGTGGAGATGGTTGGAGTGGGAGACTGGAGAGAGTTCCTGGCTCCCAGCCTTGGCCTCCGAGCATTTGGGGAGTAGGTCAGCAGATGGGTGAGCTCACGCACATGCTTGCTCGTGCATGTACTCTCTCTTCCTCTCAAATAAAAAATAATAATAATTGTAAGGGGAAAAAAGTAAAGAAAACAAACTAAGGCCAAAAGAAGCTGAGGAAGTTGTCCAGGGTCATGCAGCTGGCTGACAGAAAGACAAAGGCTCTGCTGCAGATTCCATGTTTTGTGGTCTAGCCATCCTGGCGTCCCCTCCGCGAAACACCGGACGAGTGAGCATGGGAAGAACACTCATCACTGAGGATGTGGGAGATACCTCCGTCTGTCACTAACAGGCACGGCCAGGAGGACAACCCCATGGCTTCTACTCCTGTGTGCATGCCAGTTCCTTCTGTAAATCACATTCAGCCTGTCCATCATAAAGCCCAAAGAGCCGTGCAAGAGTTCCTGGTCTTAGCTACATTCACAGGGCTTGCTCTCCAGAACACTGGGAACATCACAATTCCAGGCCTATGTCACTGCTGAACGGGCAAGCTGAGGTGTCTGCCACTTTGGAAAGCTTCCCTCCCGCCAGTTCCAAATGGGAATGGCTACAAATTGGAAAAAGCATTATTTTGATCCTGAAGTGATTTGTTCATTACCACACAGGAACTCTTATGTGATACAGATAAATTCTCGGTATGCTACCAAAAAGTCCTACTTACCGATGTACATATCCCATCTGATGAACGCTGTGGACAGCCAAGATCAGTTCAGCCAAGTAGAACTGAATCATGTTTTCATCTAATTGGTCCTCATATCTATTCAAAAGTGACAGCAAATCCCCTCCTGGCTGATATTCCATGACCTGTAGAGAATGCCGACATTGTTAATTTTTCACACAACCAAGAAAGGGAACACTTCAATAGGATCCTCAGATACTACCTGACGTGTTGCAGTTACGATGCAGACACGTGAGACATATTGTGAGACATGGAATGAGGTCCCTGCCCTAGGGAAATTACATCCGTTCCCCTGAGAGAATCAACAGAATGAAAGCCTAGTCCCAGACACCAGGCACGTTTGCAAGGCAAGCTTGAACAGCTGAATTAAATCCACCCACTCCCCCATGCACCCAGATCGACACCCAGACATTCCCCAGGAGCAGGTACACAGCATGGATGGATTTTCCTGCAGGGCAGCAAACTCCCTGGCATCCTCTTTGCACTCCCTTCAGCAGCCATCAGATTACAGGAGGCATGCAGAAAATGTGGTACAATCATTTCCCTTACAGTTGGCTTAGGAAGCAATCGACAGTCTCTATTAAAAATTTATATGTGAAATATAGAACCTCTGGCCTCATAACTCCACTTCTACCAATTTATTTTACAGGTACAATAGTTTTCTGATAAACAGAGAGAGAGAAAAATAGATTCACTGCAGAGTTGTAACACACACACACAAAAACTTGGAAGTCATCCAAATAGCCATCAATAAGAGACTGGCTAAAATATGATACATCTAAATAATGGGATATGATGCAGATATTGAAGATAAATGGGCTCCATCTATTCATACAGCAGTGGGAATCTGTCCAAGATAATATGGGCAGGAGTTTAAAAAAGTTTGTGGAAAATGTGCATCCTTTTCATCCCCTTCCTTCAAGAATGTTTTGTAAAGTGATATCCTCTACAGGGCAAAGTACAGCATAACCCCCTTTTTGTAACAAAAACAGTGAGTTATAATATTTATCAGTGTGTATATGGGGAAAAAATACAGACTATGAGGCCTGAGATAAAACTCTGTGATTAGCAAGAAAAAAAATTGGTTTCTGCCACAAGGAACTGAAATCCTTCCACCTTTTGATGATAACCGGAGGAGATGCCCAGGAATCACACCTGGCCCCAGACCACACAGCCTGGGTGGTCTCAGACCCCAGCAGGGTCCTCCCTCTGCCTTTCAGGTCCACCCTCGGTAGAACAGGGCTAAGACCAATCCCCTAGCAGAGGCCTGGACCAGTGGGAGGCCCTCAGCTGCCGTCCTGGCCCTTCACTGCTTGGTCCTTTCTGCTCTGGCTGGCAAGAAGCTGGGACCCAATTTCACTGTCAGTGTTAACTCTTCCACAGTTCTCCGGTTATTAGCCATACTATGAATGCCTTTTATTCTAAGTGGTCTCAAATCTTTTTCTGGAAAAAAACAATACCTGGATATAATCCTAAAAAATTTCAAAAAAAAAAAAAACACTAAATCTACCAAACTACTGCACTCCACAAGCATAGTCCACAATCCACATCTGGGACGTGAAATCTCAACAGCATCCTCCCAACTCCTGCTTGGTTTTAGTCCAGAATTAGAAGAACGCTCCAGACAGATCAGACATGGAGCATCTACACATAACCCTAAAGGCCCCAGAAGTTGGCCCCGCACCAGTCCCCCTTGAACCCGAGACCCAAGTCAGTGGGGAAGCTGCCTTGCACATCCTCCTCCAGGGCCCCTCGCAACCTGCGATTCCACCCCCTTCCCACGGCTTCTCACACACAGCAGACACTGGACAACCGCACAGGAAGAATAAGGCTCCGTCTGCACTGTGATTGCTGAAAACAGATGGATTCATGAATGAATAAGAGGAGCAAGACTAGAAGGGGCAGCAGCCACCATGCATCTTCAGCTCCCCCAAAGTCACAGCTGACGTCAGTCGCTCGTCCCAGTCCTGGAGCCACCTGGCTGCCTACAGCTCACCCACTCATCCCAACCTGGTTCTCCACAGGCCCCGGGTACGTGGGTGATGCTAATCTGTACGTCTGTTTTAAATATATGTTGCCATTAAAAAGGTCTTAAACATCAAAAAAAAATTTTCACAGATAATAACAGAAGTACTCATACTTTTAGAACTGAAATGTCTTAAAATAAGAACAATACATATTTATGACAAGTCACAGCTATAAAGTTCCTGTGGCTCTATTAATGGTGTGAGAAAGCAGGATGGTTTGTGAGTCTGAGAGCTGCATGCGAGGCAGCCACTGCAACCACTAGGAGGTCACCACTGACCCCTGCTAAGTACACACCAGCTACTCCAGAGAATTCTATTTGTTTTGTCCAGTTGAATTGTTCTGAAAATAAAAGGGCAGAAAGATACGTACCCTTTGTTCCTATTCAAAGATCCCAGCCCAAACTAGTCTTCTCTGTGAGTCAAACAACTCTGCATTTCTTCAAGAACCAGGGTTGGGTGAGAAAACAAGCAACCCAAATTACAACAGCTGCTAGCCATGGGTTCCACATCACGGGGCCAAAATAGACACATCAAATGATAGACCTCTAAATAGAACAGGCCTTGTCAAAGAAACTAATCAAACTTGCCCACGAACACAATTCCAGATTACTGTACTAAAAATTCCAGTGAGCACCAGGAGGGGAACTTAGTTTGCACATTTATGAGTAAACTTGGCTATCCCAAGACATTATCCATATCCCAAAAATATACCATTGGAGAAGAGTTGCTCATTTTGGTATAGGGAAGACGGCTCGTGTGCGGTCAACAGCTATGGGTTTGGGTATGGTTTGAATGTGTTCTCTCCAAGGCTTCATGTGTTGGGAACTTGGCCATCCACATGGCAATGTTGAAAAACAGTGGGACGTGCAAGAGGCGAGGCCTAGTGGTAAGTTGTAAGCCTGGCCCCTCCCTGCTCTCGGGTTTCCTGTCTTGCCTACCATGATGCTATTTACCAGGAGGTGATGGAGCCAGGGGCCCCTGGGCCCATGGAGCTGGTGCCACGCTATTTGGACTTCTTGCCTCCAAAACTATGAGCTAAGTAAATCTCTTTATTCTAAAGTTCCAGTCTCGGGTATTTCATTATAGTAACAGAAATCTGAATAATACACCAAACCAGTCTCAACCAATAGCATGCTGTTGAGCTTAAAGAGATAATAAAGCACCAAGACTTGAGGGCTTTCAGAAGACAGTTTGAGACTGTTAAAACGACACCAAATCATGTGGCTCCAGAAGCAATGTTGAAAGTTGCAAGCTAAGTCTTCAAGTCTTGGTACCAGATGACTTGTTGTGAACCAAAGACCGGGGTCAGCAGAACACTGAACTAATCAAGGACGACAGAGGCCACCCAGGTTGTGTCAGAGGGTTCATCTGCTCCAACCAAACTTGTCCAAAACTGGAGCTCTATCCTTGACTCTTACCACTCAGAGAGGGCTGGGAGGTGTTGATCCCCCAAAATGCGACTTCTAACCCAGGAAGGCTGTAAGGGTTTCCCAGGCCTGCCTGCCCATCAGAAGCCCTGGAAGAAGTGCTTTTCTAAAAAATGGTAAGACACATTCACCCAAATAAATATCTGAGTGTCAGGCACTGTTCTAGATATTAGGAAAACTACAGCAAACAAAACAGGAAAATTGCTACCTTCAAGGAGCCAGCATTATAGTGGAATGAAAAAGAAAATTATT